CATTACAGCGTATATCACGTGAAATACGCTGTCTTGCAATGAGCACTCATACATCTAGTTTTCACTCGAGATCCTATGTATGAGTGTTCATTGCAAGACAGCCTATATTACGTAATATAGGCTGTAATGTGAGTGTATAAGCTATTATATTACTAAATCACTATTTTACATTGAAGATAATGTTTAGACATCTGTAACTAAAATGCGCCCAATTACGTCAATATGGGATTTGCACTACAGTACTTTATCAGCCCCATCTGAAATTTTAGACTGACAAAATCGGGAAATTTTCTTTTTCAATGTTTTAACCATCAAAATGATTTTGAAATAAAGTTTAACCATTATTTATCAACTATTAATGGAATTACTGATAAATGTTTACTATTCTTACAACAAAGGGTACACCAAATTTCTGGCAAAGTTTGCGTACGGTTTGTTGATCCGGTACGTACTGTTCGGTTTCCTTAAATTCCGCTTGGTTTTCAGCGCTGCAATCAAGGCTGACCCTCCATATCTCAGTATCAACGAAATAAACTAGCCAGGAGCCGTCCCGAGATGTTCGGTATGATTCTGGCTACCGCGTTGATGCCCTTCGCTGCCTTCTCTTAGGCGTAATCTACGTGGCTATTGAAGCCAAACGGTCGTCGACCATCACTCCCAGGCATTTCAACACGCGCTTCTAGTTTATTACGTGCTCCCCAACGGTAATTTCTTACCGCTGCAGCGCTTTAAAGTTACTGATCAATACCACCTCGCTTTTGTTGTGGGCTATCTGCAGCTTCGCTCCATGTATTAGGTTTCCAATCATGTTAACCGCCTCGGTCGCCAACATTTCCATCTATTTCAGTGTCCAGCCTGTTACCACAGACAAACAGACATAACACTCACAATCACATTCATCGCAATACGTTGCACGATTTTAGGGATGAATGACCTTAAAGGTTAAAATCCCTCAAAAATAAATAAACAACAACAACAACGTTGTAAGATGTACACAGAGTTCGAGAACAAATCATGTGTGACTGTAATATTCTATCAATTTATACCAGTTATTGATGTTCAATACTTCACCATGAATATCATTGATTGATACATGATTTTTTTTCTGTGTACACATTGAAGCGATGAGCGGTGGTAGAAAGGGCACTAATAAGTTTTTTTTTTTTTTTTTCTTTATTTACAAGGCTTTCAGCCATTGGCTGGTTCGCCTTGGGAACTCCAGAAGGGAGTTCCAAAAGGTTTGTAAGAGCTGCTACAGTGTTTGTATAACCATTAACACCATTAACATAAAACACAAATCAGTATAAACATAAAGGACATATTAAAATAAGAACTGGCGTGGTACATCTGCGTTAATTCAGTTGGACTTCCAATTGGATTGCGGTAAGTTGTCATCAGGGTTCAGGGTTGAAACGTATCGTGTATGCCGGTAGTTGGAGCTAGTCATTGAGGGTTGCGTGGGTCGAGTAGTTTAAATCATATTGAAGAGTACGGTTTCCTTCAGGAAGATAAACAGCGTAGCAGTCCGAACGGGATCATCGGAGAGGACATCCCGGATGCTGCCGGAAATGTCGTAGCTTCTCCTGGTTCCATCGTATTTCGGGCATATGCAGATGAAGTGCTCGACGGTCTGTGGGATGTGGCAGTGGTCGCATATCCTCCGGAAGGGTCCGTCCCCCTTATAGTTGTGGGAGACGTTTGTGTGGCCGGACCGGAGTCGCGATAAAACAACCTGCTCACGGTGGAGGGGTGGATCCTCCCATCTGCTGGTGTCCCACTAATAAGTGATGCATTACCTTGTTTAAAAACTTGTTTCCAGCAAAATAAAAAGCACACTAAGCAAACAAAACAAATCCCTAAATAAAAGTCTTAGCTTCTGAGAATTTTTCCTACGGATCCGTATTTTTGCAGAATTCAATCAATTCAATAGATCTTTGGAAAATTTCGTAGAACCGACATCACTGACTTCCATCTGTTTTGTTTTTATTCAACACAGCTGACGCGTTGACAGAACGAGGGAAAAGCAACTAGTGAAAAAATTGTATGTACGAGGGATGCTCCGATTGCAAAACATTGCTTGGGAATGTGGATGATAGATGGTGCTAGTGCGCATGCAAAATACGCTTGACGATATATTTTGAAGAATTTTCTTCTAAGAGTTATGTATGTTTGTCTGTGCTGTTAGCAACTCGTTTGGGTAGCTTCAGCGTTAAACTGTCGTTTTAAATCACGTTGGACCAAAGATGGAGCCTTGTGGAATTCCCACCGTTATCCTAATCGATATCTGTCCCATATTTGGCTCGTACACGCTAAGATCAGATAATCCAAATGTAGGTTTACTTTACCCAAATCAGGCGTAAACTGCACAAACTCAGATATGGGTAAATTTTTTAACTAAAATATGGGTAAATTTAAGTCAAATTTGCATAAAAGTAAATCATTTATGGATCATAAGAACCCATATTTGCGAGTTTGTGCAATTTACGGCCAATCTCGGTAATCTCTTTGTACCGTCTGGGTATTAGCGTGTAGATCAGAACCCGGTTCTGGAAGTAGCGTAGGCCTCCCAGCTGGAGCTGTTGAACGCATTCTTGACGTCGATCGTTATCACGGCGTAAAATCGATCTCCTCTCCCCTTCTGTTTCTACGCCTTATCGGCTCTCTCGCAACTGTCCGAATTGCATCCACTTTTGCTCTTCTGTTCTTGCTCTCTGAACACGCCTTCTGGATTTTGGCTCTGAGACAACTAGCGCGGAGGGTGCTAATTGCCTCGTTGCAGCAGTAAGCTGGAGGCCGTCTGTTATTTAGCTCCAGTTTCCTCGGCATGGTCGTGTCACATGCTCTCCCTAACGATTCTGTCAACTCGTTTTCCACTTCAGGTCGCAAGTTTTCATACACGCAGTACTGCCACAGGATTCCGTTGGCCGATGCCATATCGGATTGCCTGATGGTCACTATGGGTATATCCTTCACACACTCAATTCATGTTTTCCACCAGTGACGGACTGCAGTCCGCATAAAGTGACGTCGATAATGGATTCCCGGCCATCTCTGCGAAAAGTGCTGGTGGTGCCTTTATTGAACAGCCTAATTTCCAGCTTCGCCAGAGCTTCCAGCAGAATGTGTCCTCTTGCGTTGGTACATCTGTTTCCCCACTCCACTGTCTAAGCATTGAAGTCTCCTCCGATGACTGCCGGTCTTCATCTTCGGTAAGTCCAACCAGCGTCTCGTGGAACTGCTCTATCGTCCATAGTGTGCGTAGCAACTGCATATGAATATTCCGTCAATTTTGGCGATCACGAAACCTTCTTCTTGAATGGGGTATCTGCTCATAACTTGTATTGCAGTCATGCAAGCTCTATCCGCCATCCAGTTACCGGTATTGGGAGGGACTCGAAACGGTTCCGCAATGATTGTAACGTCGCACTTTGTCTCCGTTGTCGACTGCCACAACTGCACAGCTGCCGCAATAATTGAGGCTTATTTGAGTTACCTCTGTTATTGTTGCGACAAAACAATTAAGTGTCATTTGGAGCGAAATGCTTGAGAATTCATGCTTAAAAACCAAAAAGTTCAGAAAAATCGTCAGGCTGACAAAATCGGAAAAAAGCTGACAAAATCGGAAAAAAGCTGACAAAATCGGAAAGCACTGTATCTGGAGGGTTTTTAAAACCTTTCTAAATATCTGAACCACATTTTGCTCAAGTTTGTGCTTCTATATGTATTAAAATTGATTATTGCCACGAAGATCATTTTTTTTTCGGTTCTAGGGTTTCGATTTTGTCTTGAACTAAAGCGCTAAAAATGTTTAATGATATTAAACCAAATCTAGACAACGACCCAGATAAGATGCCATCATTATGTTCAAACTTGCATGATATTTTCAATACAAACTTAATAATAAAAATCAAAACCACCCTAGCATATTAAATTTTTTAATACATAATTTTCAAAATTCTGTTTCAGGGACATAACATTGCCTAAAAAGTATGTTGGTTACGACAAAAAAAATCATTATGACCGGCTTTTGTATGGGGTCAGCCCACTGTGCAGTGGTTTCTCGTTATAAGAGTGGCGCTTAAGTCACTGAGTTCATCAAAACCTCGAGCGGTTACAACCTAAGTACTAGAATGCGGTGAAGCATGTTGTGTTACGAACGCCGAACTTCTAACTTCAACTACAAGCATATAGATTTGAATACGGTCAGCCACTGCGATGAGGATTGGGGATCCGACCTGGATGACCGAAAGTCAACTACATATCTGAGACTTATAATTAGGCACACAAGATTCTAGATTTAATTTTGAGCAGTCCTAGATAATAAACAAGCAGCCAAAATTTCAGAAATCTATCTACCGTGCCGGGACCATAGCACAGCAAACAAGGAGTAGCAATTTCAAATTTGTATGTTTTGTGGAATCTGACATTTGTGCCTTTAAAGTTTCACGCTAAGGCTTTCTTAGAGTATCACATTAACTATGTAGTTTTGCGGTGATGACATTTTAAAACAAATCATAGGGTACGCAAGGTTAGGAACCGCGCAATGATGTGCAAGTGATTTTCTATTATAGTTGGAACATTGAATATTTACGCTGTATAAGATGATCATTTTGTTAGAAAAGGAGCAAAAAGTGTTCTGGTGATTTCTATTAGGACTCATAATAGCTGCTCTTAACATGTTTTGTTTATTGACACGACCAAAAAGATTCTTCTTTATTGAGCTTTTCCAGCTCGGCCACGATGATGAAAACTATTTACCTACCTATACTAGCATTAATTGAATTAAAGATCAATTGAGCTAATCTCGACCAAGTTTCTCCTACCAAAAAACTACAAACCATTGAAAGAAAACGCATGTACGTGTGCGGGCGGGTGATACAACTCTAGCGAGCCTCAGGAGAAGCAGACATAAGTGTGGACCGATTGCAAGAGCACTTTCCTACGGCTGTAATTTCGATTTTTTTTTTCATTTCGCTAGCGTTTGGATACGTAGTCGTTACCTGGCGTTGATTGTTTTGATTATTTTGAGCCATCCTCGCTGCTTCTAATCCGCACAAGCAGGATCAGTTGTAACAATTCCGGATGTGTCCAAAACTTCCGATCCAGTACACTACAATGTTATTGCTCATCCACTACAATACCAACACAGGATGTAAACCATCAGTATTTTTTTACCTCTGGCAGGTTCCAAAATGTCACACTGCCTGCACGTCAAATTAGCCTTGCGAGAGGCTGACAAATGGTGCAATCAAATTCCTTCGGAACATCGAAAAACCAGAGCGAGCTTATATTTTTTTCGTTCAAGACATGTCAATAATTTGTCCTCCTACTGCCACCACCAAACACCACTCCTCTTCTGGCCGTTCACTTCCTCCGGTATACCAGCCAGTTACGCTGACTGGCTCTTTCACCACTTCAAGCACACACCAACACCAACTTGTGACTTCGTGGCTCACTTTGGAAGGCTTTTTTCATGTGACGTAGGAAAACACTTCAATGTTAACTTTACAGCAACTTCCTCGAATAACTAAAATCACAATTCGCTGATAATGGCAATGATGATGATCGGCAAAAATAAAAAACTATAAACCAATAAATAATACTGAATTGAAGGAGAAAGCAAAATAATGAAAGGTGGAACTTTTCTCCGTGCTGCGCTGCGAATATGTAAATTTTTCCTACTCACTGATGGCTACATGCACACACAAAAGACGGAAAACGAACTAGAATCTGCTTCCAGTGGACGAAAACACTTGCACGAAACGAATACGCGTCGGGAATATCGCAAATTTGCTGATTTTAGCAAGGATTTTCCGATTTTTGCAAAAGATTTCCTATTCCTGCACTGCACTCGCTCAAAACACGGATGAATGCCAGGTTGGAACTTTCATCAGTCTGGTGATTTTTTCGCTTCTGGCTTCTGTGCTCCAAAAATGGCATCTCGCGTGAACGCGAAACGGACTGACAAATGCGGAAAATGAACGATGATCAATTCATTTCGAGGGGCGAGATAATGCGAATAATGCATGTGTTGATCGTAAAATCTCTTATTTATTTCAAAATTAAGAATGCAGGCTTAGCATTTGTAAACAAACTTTCTAAGGCAACTTATACCAACCTATACCTATGCTAATACATAGGATTTCCAGTGAAAACTAGATGTATAAGTGCTCATTGCAAGACAGCTTATATCACGTGATATACGCCGTAATGTGAACAACAACTGGCAACTTAACACGCGAACCAAAGTACGCCCACGCAAACCAAAAACAATCGGATAAGGGCAACTATCACCTTTCTTTGCTTTGCGTGGGCGTACTTTGGTTCGCGTGTAAAGGGCCTTAGAAAATTTGTTTACATATGCTTTTGTGCCGTTATCAAAATGTTATGCCTGAATCGATAATTGTATCAACCGGTGAACACTCGTGTTTATTTCAGTTACAATGTGGACGTAATTTGTGATGAGCCCCGGTCCCTTTCAAATTGTATCATTATTTATGTACGGTCCATATATTTTAAATGACGTTTCGCATTCATCTAGTGATGGCCGATTTTCATTCGAATTATTGATTAATCGATTAACGAACCGAAAAGTAAACTTATAGTACGTTCAGACTACAGAGCTATAAAATGTTATATATAACGGCGCCGGTGGTGTAGTGGTACGTGTGATTACCTCTCACCCCAGCAGGCCTGGGTTCAATCCCAGTCGGCGCCGCCTGGATGTTCTGAGGGATAACATCTCTGATCACGCCTTCCTTCGGATGGGAAGTAAAGCCGCTGGTCCCCGGTTCATGAGTTGATGGGTCGATAGGTAGGGTCCAGGTGTGGGAGCTGCCTTCCTGGCACGTCGGTACACACAAAAAACAAAAATTGTATTGGTAACAATATTAACCTTTCAATTTAAAAGTATCAAAAAAATCGTTATTCTAACTACGAAAATGTTTGATACAACAAGGTTGTTTTTAATTCAAAAGTGATTGTTTTAATTTTAACTTGTAGTTTTAAAAGCGCAGATTTTCAAATTGAAAATTGTTTAACTGTCAAAATTACTTTTCATGTGTGTGCCATACGGCCGGAAAAGAGAATTTTTTTCATTTCAGTTGCAGCTGCTTGACATTGTAGTTTGGGAGAGATTTTTTTTATTAAACCGTAAGTAATTTTTGAGATCAGATAATTTGCATAATTGAACCACTGACCCATGATTATTGCTTATACGCAGGTATCATTAATTTAGCCGAGAATTTAGTCGTGAATGCTCACAAAGGGAATCCGGCGAACGTTGATCCTTTTCCGGGCGAATCAATCCGGTAATTTGAAATTCTATTCCGTGGAATAAATAATATTTATTGATTGCTTTTGAAATTGTAGGATGAGAAACACGCTTGCACCAGGAATTTGCGGAAAATGGCATCCTCAGGCAGTGGCGAATCGCCAATAGGCCACGAGCATCAATCATACACTGTCTATCGGAGACACTTCGTAGCCTACAGTGGTGCAAGATGTTAGAGAAGGCCCTAGCAGGTTTAGCTGACGGACGCCGAGAGAAGTGCCCTCAATCAGTACTACAAGGATCTCAAGTGAAAAATGTCTAAAAAAAACTGACATTCCAATCCGACGAATATGCAGTGCGGAACCAGACAATGATATCAAATTGTGAATAAAAAATAGAGAAATAAATGAATTTGTAATTTTTAATAAAAAGGATGTTACTATATTGAATATACTACTTTTGAAATAAAAATATTTAATTTGGATTAAAAATAACAATTATTGTCATTTAAAGTATACCGTACTTTCATGTCAAAAGTTTGTTTTGAATTAAGAATAATACGCTTTTAATTTCAACCATGTCACGCTTTTAATTTGACAGTAGAACAATTTATTTTGAAAGTTTAAACTTTTAAAAGTCATGAGCGGGCAACTTTTAAACTGACAGTTGACAAACTTTCGATTTAAAAGCTAACCGCTTTCTACCAAAAAGAACCAACGCAAACTTTTAATTTCACCAATGCTTTTTTTAATTTTACTAAAGATTTTTCTTTGTGTGTAGCATTGGTGCTCAGCACGAAAAACAAGATCGACGGAAAAAACAAACCAAAGGAAAAAAAAAACATGTTATAGCACTATCTTGATGGTGGTTTCTGTGTTACAATTATTTGACAACCGTTATAACATGTCATAACCAACCGGTAAACACTCGTGTTTATTTCAGTTACCATGGAGACGTAATTTATGATTAGCCCCGGTCCCTTTCAAATTGTATCATTATTTATGAACGGCCTTATATTTGAAATGACGTTTCACATTCATCTAGTGATGTCCGATTTTCATTCGAATAATCGTTTAATCGATTAACGAACCGAAAAGTAAACTATTTATAATCGGTTAGATCATGCCGATATAAGCATTAACATCTCCACAGGATCATCACCGATCGTTTCAAACATGTGCTGCACTCTCATTCGTGGAAAAATGGCAGCACAGCGAACAAAAAATAATCGATTAGTTGTTAATCGAGTAATTAAAAAATGGGACATCTCTGATTTTGGTGTGATTGTTTTGATAAAAATGAGCGCAAAATTTCATCTCTTCCGAGGGGGCACCAAAACCACAAAATTACCTTGAATACGGGGGGTTCTCATTGGATGAAAGGGACCGTGAAAGAAGACACTAAAATAGAAAGTTTTTCTTTCGACAGTTTCATCTTAGTATTCATCTTTGTTATAACTGCTCAGTCTGGCCAGCGTTTTATTTGTAATCGGTTATAGTACGTTCAGACTACAGAGTTATAACATGTTATAGCGCTATCTTGATGTTGGTTTCTGTGTTGCAATTATTTGACAACCGTTATAACATGTTATAACCATAGAGGTAACTCTAAGACCACTGGGTCCCGAAGAAAATCATTATTATTTTTGGCTCACTCAGTACCAGAACAACGGTCCCAAGCAGTCCCAAGCTATTTCACTCACCCCTGCATGTTCTGCATGAATCCACACACCCCTGATGTTATCTGTCAAACTTTCATAGCGAATCAAAACAAACATAGTGTAGTAATAGAATTTCAACTAGAATAGGGTACGTTAATCGTTTGCTTGGGACCAATAGGCTACTAAAGTGGTGAGCCAATTTAAAATCGTTAGTTTCGTATTGATTGTTGTTATAACTCTCCAGTCTGGACAGAGTTTTATATCATGCCGATATAAGAGCAACCGTAAAGGCCCAAGCGCAATGACAGCGGAAGCGGAACGGCAACGGCAGCGGAAAAGCCCGATCTGAGTAAGCCAACTTGTCGGATTGAAAACTTGTTGGAACCAAATCGACTTCGGTTAGGCATCTTGATGTCATTTGTGATAACTGTCAAACATTCCGTTTCCGTTCCGCTTCCATTCACATTGCGTTTGGGCCTCGGTTTGGGCCTTAAAGGTCGTTGTAATTTGCGCGACTATTTTAACAACGCACAGCGCTCGTTAAAATAGTCGCGCCAAAATTTATGAAATTTTGGACTTAGGTTCCATTTTCAATGTAGATGGCGAATATGCAAAAACATCAATACCGCTAAACAACCCAATTGGGTTGTTGAACTTTGAAAAATATACCGATTTTTGTACATCATCTGATAGAGTTTCGTTTTTTGAGCACAACGATATTTTTATTGATCCCGTAGACATTCATCTCGATTTTTTAAATCAATGCAGTGCTAACATTTGAAAACGGCGCAAAAGCCATTTGTAAACAAATGGTTTGTGGGCCCTTTACTCGCTACCCGAAGAACGCCCACGCAAACCAACAGCATCGTCAGGAAGGGGAAAATTTCCCCTACCCGATGTTGCTGTTGTGTCGCGTGGGTGTACTTCAAGTAGTGAGTAAAGGGCCCACAAACCATTTGTTTACAAATGGCTTTTGTGCCGTTTTCAAATGTTAGCACTGAATGTTTAGTTTTTTGATCGCTGACACTAAATCTATTCGTTGATAGCTCGCTCAAATACAAAGTCTCATCAAGGGGCGCTTCGATGGTGATATTTTTTTTAACGTAATCGCTCTTACTTAAAATAGTTCCAGTGTATCAAAATTGATAAAATTTTGGAGTTCGGTTCCATTTTTAATGCAGATAACGAATATGTATTTACCTCAATACCCCTAGACAACCCAATTTTGGTACACTGGAACTATTTTAAATGCGCAACGAAATAGGGCACCCCCAACCTAACAGCACTGACTGTCCGAGTGACCGGCATTAGAGTCGGTGTATAATGAGTCACGCCAAGAGAAAAACAGTTGAACTCGCATCACGGTTTTCGAAAGATTCCCTTTCTTTTAACTTGGCAACAGAGGACTTCTGCATCAACTTCAAATGACTTTAGCGAGGAAAAAAATTAATGGCTGTAGTAAATCATTATATCAGTGATTTTGTCGAATTATCTTAAAGAAAAATAGTAGAAATTGTCATTACTGATCAGTACAAAACGTATCGCATGACAAATGTAATGCTCACTGCGTGCATATGATCATTTCTTCGATTATATTTTATATTTAATTGCAATACCTTTCGTGGACCTTTCACAGCATCGTAATGCTTGTTTATTTTGCACGATAGGTTGCCGGTTTGACAGTTCAATAGGTAGACTTGGCTTCACTCTTAGCGTGACTCATTATACACCGACTCTAACCGGCATCATACACCCAAGGGGGGGAGCTGGCTGTCAAATACGAACAATCGTCACCTACCTCGCATAACTGGTTCCAAACGTAAACAAGCCATAAGAAACCGACAGCGTTTGTTTACGTATGGAACCAGTTTCATACAAGTATGATCAGTAGGCTGATATCACAGTACGTCCCCCCCCCCAGCATACACCGCAATAACGAAAACGACATTAAATGAGTGTGATTACATTTGCAATAATCGCCATCTTAGTGCCCCTCGCACTCTGCTTCCAAAACACACAGTTTCTGACACATTCATCCTTCTCGACCACCTCTGTTTGTCACGCAGGTGTTCATTTTCGGATTTTGTTGACTTTTTGTAGCGGATTCGCTTTCGCAGGTGACGTGTTGGAGATTTTGGTGATCGTCTCATCATACATTCATCGTCATCGCTAGCTAGAAATCAAGCAGGAATATTGTACGGGACCGATTTATTATATTTTTATTAGCCAATCTTCCCCAATCAACTAGCAATACAGTACTATGTTTATAGCGAATTTGTTTAGTCTACTGATAAAATCATTCTTTTAGCCGAACGGATATTGGTTTTGGTTGCGAAATTTTGCTGGTGTTTTATTTTGAACCGAACGGGTGAGTAGTATCTTATTCCTCCGAAAATGGCTCTGATGACGATGATTGCCCGGGTCGTCGACGGTCTTCCACTGGTTGGGACGATGCAGGAAGATGAGCAGGTAAGGGTGTTTAACAAGTTTATGAGGTGATGCAATTTTCTCGAGAGATCGGTTTACCATTTCAGTCTGGAAGGAGTGTATTGGAATACCAGAATCAGGCCAAGATGCTGTTCCGTAAGCTTGGACCAAACTCCCCGGCCCGCTGCAGCATCGAAACTGGTCCATATTTGTTTCAGTATGTACATTCTTATCGCACTGTGCGAAACAATCACGTCATCTTCTAATCAAAATTTTACAATTGTAGCTACCTGATTGAGAATGAGGTCTGCTATCTGGTGCTCTGTGATAAGATGTTTTCCAAACGGATTGCATTCAACTACCTGGAGGACATTGCTCAAGAATTCCACAATAACTACGGTCGGAAGGTGAACTCCGTCACCCGGCCTTATGCTTTCATTGAGTTTGATATCTACATCCAGAAGGCAAAGAAATCGCTTACCGACAGGCGAAGGAACATCAACACGATCAACACGCAGCTGCAGGATGTGCAGCGGATAATGGTAAGTTCCTGGATTGGTTTGGCAAGTTCATGGCAGTCACTAAATTGTGATGGTTTCAATTGTAGGTCCAAAACATAGACGATGTTCTGCAGCGTGGCACAGTTCTCTCAGAGTTGGACACAAAAACGCAAAACCTCTCGATGCTGTCCCAAAAGTACAAGAAAGATGCCACCTATTTGAACCGGAAATCGCTGTACGTAAAGGGAGCCGTCGCCGGAATAATAATAATAGTGTTCATTCTATACTTTTGGGTCATTTAATCTCGCCAATTCCCTAAATTAATAACTATGCGCAGCATGGAGGAATGATAATGACACATTTTTGAGTGATATGAAACTGCAACTGGAGGAAGTGAAATTGATTGAGCATAGTTTAGAGGGTATGGTGGAAATGCAGGACGTTTAGACATGTTTTGGGCCAAATTTAAATGCAACAGGTTAAATGAAAGTATCGAAGTGTACTGTGTGCTGGTTACAGTTTTATTAAATGAGTTATAGGGATAGTGAACCTACTGTTTATTGTTTGTTTATGTGAAGTTACAGCTCCCATCCAATAATTTTCTATACTATTCCTGTATGACAACACTTACTGTTTGTAGTAGCAGTCCTTTCAACTATAGAAACAAATGAAACAGTTGTAAATATTTCAAATGAAAGACTACTTGAAGCACGGCTTAGAACTACAAACAAATGGAAAAACGAAAAACTATCGAGGAATCTAATATAGTGTATATCACATATTCCGTTAAGTAAAAAAAAGGATATTTATGTTTGTGTTCCGACATTAGTTATCAAAATAATATTACTGTACTTGTTTTGCAGTACTTCCTAAGGCATGTAAACCATTCAATTTTACTTTATTACAGTGAGAAATAAACTACTTGAATATTCATAAAAGAACGATTTATTTCTTGAGGCATTACTTAACTGTTTACTTCGCTAAGTATAAATGCTTATGTCAAAATTATTGAATTTGGTACATTTAATTTTCAGTTGAATTTTTACAAGGTCGATTGATGTACTAACAAAAAATTATAGTTTGTACAATTCGACAGTGAGCATGCATAAGGGCGTAAACGCGATGATCGAATCTCTTCGTCGAGCATAGTAGCGTACGGCAGTATGAAAATTGAATAGAAGTTGAAAATGAGCGAAGGGCCGACAGTACAAAGTCAAACGCACACTCTTTGCCTAACCCGTACGATGTACGCGGAGATTTAAAGTATGTCTTCAAATCTACAGGCTGACTTTGAACGGTCGACTTCTATTCAATTTGCATACTGCCGTACTCTAACGGAACTATCTACCTACCCTCTTCTAAATATCATTCTCTAGCTAATAAATTATCACACTAAAGCTTCATGTTAGATAGCATTTCCAACCAACCATGACAATTGCAAACTTCGCGTATGAAGTAACATAAAAACACTTTGAATGCAAAATTACTATGCTCCACATAAAATTTTATATAGTATTGGGCCGTATGAATAAAAATAGTTTACTTTACTTTCCCGTGCTATTCTTACGGGAAAAGTAAAGTAAACGCTTTTATTCATACGACCTATTGTTGATAACATTAATGGTTTAAAGAATACTTCAAATTTACCATGTTACCATGTGGATATGGTAACATCAACAGAAATGTTGTTTGGTTGGAAAACAAAACGATTACTAGGGGAAATGGATGCAATGTCGGCCTAAATGCCCCTAATTTGGGCCCATACATATATTCAGCAATCGACCAAATTTTCAATAGCTACCAAAAATATCCATTAGTACCGTCCCAATGACACGTTCATCTAGATAAAATTGATAAATAGCAGATTTTTAGCGATGGGCCCAATCTTAGATCCATAGGCCAACATTAGAGCCATTTCCCCTATTTCACGGAAAACCTATTTCACAGATTATCGTTTTTCAGGTTGTAACTAAAATTGGAAGATAAAGTTGAACTAATGAATCATTGCTGTTGAGGAGGTACCTCATTGCGTTTTTTTTTTAATTATTATTCTGCGAACGTCTATCAGTAACAGCAAAAAATGGCAAGATAACAAATACTGAGTAGCGGCGCCGGTGGTGTAATGGTAAAGCGTGATTACCTCTCACCCCAGCAGGCCTGGGTTTAATCCCAGTCGGCGCCGCCGGGATGTTCTGAGGGAGGTATAACATCTTTGATCACGCCTTTCTTCGGAAGGGAAGTAAAGCCGTTGGTCCCCGGTTCATGAGTTGATGGGTCGATAGGTAGGGTCCAGGTGTGGGAGCTGCCTCCCTGGCGTCGGTAGCATTAATGCACCAATTGGTGCTCAGTACGCAAAACAAGATCGACGGAAAGAAATCAAGGAAAAAAAATTCACTCACAAAATATTGCGTATAAATTCGGGTTTTTACCATACTCGCATATCAGTTTAGTTCAAGCCGTCTTATCGCAATGTTATCCACAGTGCTTGCGTTAGTCTCAGCTGCTGGAGATGTTCTTGAAGTAATTGGAACCACAGTTGAAAGTGTTGGAGCAGGTGTCAGACAGGTTGGAAACATTATTAAAGATGTAAAAAACATTGCTATTGAAGCCTAGAGCTGGTACTCCATCAGTCAGAATTACCAAATCAACCTTGAAATTAACTGAAACAAAAAGTTCCTGCTTCGTTAAGTAGAACAACCGATGCTGATGTAACATCATGGATGATTAACTTGACCAAACCTATGTAAGTATCACTTAAATATCATCTAAATGTTCCTTACTATTTCTGACAGTTAATGCTCACTTTTAATTCTAACTGATTTTCAGACAGTCAGACGACTAATGACAAACTAATCAAAGAGAGATGGCCTAGGTAGAACAAATAATACTAGAGGCAGTATGTTGGAATATGTATTCAGACTACAGTTGATGTAATTTTTCTTGTCAATAATTCAGTGCTAACATTTCAAAGGGGCGTAATTGCATTTGTAAACAATGGCTTTAGCCGTCGATTTCTCGCAAATAAAAGCTCACTCATGAAAATTAATTACACCAACAGGTATAGGAATGTTTCCTCTACCATTTATCATTGTTTATTTGGAGGAGTGAGCCTTTATTTGCGAGAAATCGACGGCTAAAGCCATTGTTTACAAAAGCAATTACGCCCCTTTGAAATGTTGGCATTATATTATTATAATATGTTACAAGTTACAAGGGCACTAGAGGCATCATTTTAGTAAAATAAGCTTGTATAAAGCACATTCTAAAATTAAAAATGTAATAAAATTCAATGTAATACTTCATGCTGGCTGCTATTCCCTAATAAAATTGTTATGGTTATTTTACTTAACGACGTGTTCGGAGTATCATCCAAACCATTTGTGGAATATTCCTACTATTTGGGTTATCGTTCGTTTATGGTATTTTTATTAGGGTTTCCCAATCATAAATGTTTTTCTACTCTCAACTATCTAAGCATTGCCCAACAAACAATTTTAGCTGCAGTTTAGCTTATACAGACAAAAATTAGCTGCATAAGGCAAATTTTGGCTGTATAAGCTAATTTGCAGCTAAAATTGTTTGTTGGGTGACCTGGGACCTGGTCAAATTTCTGTCGATATCGTTAACCTTTAACTCTTTTCCATGCTGATCCACAACTGTCGGTCCGTCTCATTTTTGACAATCTACACGCAGAGAAAAATATATTAAACTTAATAATATTTGACGTAAATTCAATAAGAATTTCATTTTGTTTTGGCTGCAAACATAAATCATTATTGTTTCAACAATCCAGTATTTTTGTTCCTCAAAACCCATGGATTGTTAAATCAAAAGAAAATCTTTTCGAATTAAAAAGAGCTTTCATGGTTTTAACCGTAAGTTGTTAAATTTGGCAGCTGGATCAACAACAAAAATATGTTTGTTTTTAAAAGAGATTTCTTGTTGATCCAATCATATTTATTTTATGAAGCCTGACATTACACGCAGAAGAAATAAAAATATTTTTATTGATTCAATAATAATTTAGCGATTATTTTTATGTTCTTTTGACGTAGAACTACGTCTTTGTCGACTATACTGGGGTGCAAGTCAAAAAATATGTGTGGTGAAGGAGTGTTAGGTTTTGAACGCTTGTAACTTTGTCATTTATAGATGAAATTAAAATCCAAATACGCCAATCGATAGGATATTACATTACGAACCTGTTGAAATAAATATTTTTCCAATTTTTCTGTAATTAAACTTTTGAAAATGTACAAATGATAATTTTATCACTGTTTTCATGAAATAAGCCTTTTTCGCAAACCCAGTCATCATAAACGAATACCACTTGGTTGCACATCATTCTGCTTGAATCTGAAAAGATATAAATCAGCGCTGGTCTCATGCCACTGCTCATTAACGCTTCGGACGGCGTGGCGCTTGGTCCTGCAGTAAGCAGGACCAAATCAGCAGCTTAAGGGTGGATCACGGCGTGACCACAATGAGGAAAAGCACACACGCCCTTCACAACAATCTCTCGGCCCCCCCCTCAACAACCTCTCCTACCCTCCCCCACCATCAAACCTCTCCTACCCCCCCCCCCCACCATGAAACCTCTCCTACCCCTCTCCCCACCATCAAACCCCTCCTACCCCCCTCAAATACCTCTCCTACCCCCCCCCCCCCCTCAAATACCTCTCCTACCCACCCCCCCTCAAATACCACTTCTAAAACCCCCCTCATCAATAACCCGAAAACGAGACAGACTTTAATGATCCCTTTTTTCCGGGAAATAAATTTTAAACATACCACAATCATTAGTAAAACCAAGTTTTACCAAATTTGAACAAAAAATTGCATTGAAGACATGTTTGATGACATTCAGTTGGTGAATTACACACAACTGACGGTAAAACATATCTGGTGCCTCTATATATGCAATTATATTAACATCCAAAGTCCATCCTATTTTACATATTCTGCACAAAAGAAACTTTCTGCTCCGCCCCATTCATAAAAAACTGCGGGAAATCCTATCAGGTTCTGAACCTGAAAAGATATAAAACAGCGCTGCTGTCATGCTTTTGCTCATCATCATCATTCTCTGCTTGTTCGTCAAGCAGTACAGTCCGGTATTTGCTCGCTCTGTCGAGTTGTTCGATAGTTATTCCAAACGTTTATTCGCGTCGTCAGTAGTGTCGGTCGCATCGTGTGATGGGAAGACAGCGCTCCCGGAGCAGGCTCCGTGAGAAAGCGGAAAAGAACAGTGGTGAGTGTAGCACGAGTGTACCTATTTCAAATAGGTACGCTACTCTCCCCACCGATGTTGGGAATACCACCTCCGCCACGGTGAAGCGATCCAAGAAGAGGAAGAAAAACCAAGGCCAGTCCGATGGTGCGAGTGGACGTGATGACGTCACAGCAACGAACGCCAGCGACATCGGTGATTTCGGCGACACCATCGACAACGAAAATTCTGCCGGCCCGAGTGCGGCAAAAGTGAAGCTACCTCCATTGGTGGTAAAAAATGCTCATCTTAATGAGCTCATCGCGGATCTAGCGACGCTGGGCGTTAAAGCCGAATACAAGTTGGGCAGAGTCGGCACCAAGGTGGTGCTCCGTACCAAAGCGGAGTATGACTTGGTCGTTGCCCACCTGAGGAATTCTAAGGTGGAATTCTTCACCCACGACATTCCCGGTGAGAAACCATTCAAGGTCGTCATCAGGGGCCTACCAAACTTCGACCCGAAGTTTATCGAAGCTGAAATCAGGGACCGGTACAAGCTGGCCCCAAGTGCCGTCTATCGGATGACAAGAAGAGACGAGAATGTGAAGGCGTATCCGGATTGCCTTTTCCTGGTACACTTCCAGAAGGGAACGGTGACGCTCAACGCGCTGAAAGCCATCCGCTCCATCAA